GCTTGGGTCAAGTCATTGCTTCTCACGCTTCGCTTCAACTTATTTACACATGGAGACAAATGATAATAATTCCTTTCTGCGAGTTTTTCCAAAAAAAATTTACATAATCAGGTCATAGGTGAAGCATCATTTACGTTTGTTAACGTGCCGCTGAAGGGTATATTATAAATCGACTTCTAAATACAAATTCGATTGATGTTTTTCGGAATAATTTTAAATTGGAAAAAATTCATTTTATTCCTTTCCACGTTTCACTTGTTAGATTTCCACTTTTTCCAAACCTAAGCTTCTACAGTGCATCCCACAGACCTTTTAATCTATTCAAAGCAATAAAAATTCACTTGTGATATGAAAATAGATTGGAAATGACGGAGATTTTATAAATTTAATTATTGCTTAGATAAATGGAATTCAACCGTCACCTGCATAAAAATCAATTAACGTTTCTAATTGATATAAAAATAATATTTTTGACTCCAATTGGAAAAAATGACGGCCGAGACTGGTGCTACGGCTCCTTTAATTTGTGCAGAAAACTGCTGATGATATTCACTTAATTCATTAAATATGTTTACTTATCACAAATAACACTTCGTTATCCTCGTATCCAATAAAACTTTATTACACTACAGGAAATTTGCGGTTTTCAAATCTCTAAGAAATAAACCTCATAAATACACTGGCCAAAATTAAAGGCTTGGCATGAGAAGAGACTTCAGCTGAGCTTCGAGAAGAAAGTCAATCCGTAGAAACAGAATCAGGACTGAACGGACGCGGTGAATCCCGTCAGTGAATCAGGACTGGACGGACGCGGTGAATCCCGTCAGTGAATCAGGACTGGACGGACGCGATGGATCCCATCAGTGAATCAGGACTGGACGGGCGCGATGGATCCCATCAGTGAATCAGGACTGGACGGGCGCGGTGGATCCTGTCTCNGGACGGGCGCGGTGGATCCCATCAGAGAATCAGGACTGGACGGATGCGGTGGATCCCATCAGTAAATCAGGACTGGACGGACGCGTAGGATCTCATCAGAGGATTAGGAGTGGACGGGGAGGATCTCAACTGAGAAGACGGACGCTCCGCTCAAAGAATTGGTTGGACGGAGAAGGCGACCGCCAGACAAAGAATCTCAAACTGCGGGTCAAGCAAAGCTTTGTTGTTGCCCGAAACCTTTTCTGTTGGGCGCGCGGGTTACCGTAATTAACGTCGATTTCAGCGTTCATCCTTGGAGCGGATAACCGAAAATAATTTGAAATCCTGGTCGGTGTAGAGGCGGCCAGCCATTCGCCATATTTAGCAGCTGAAATTCGCCAAAGTTATTTGTAACAGGGCGGCGACTCATGACCCTTTTTTCTAATTAACGATCTCTTGCACGCCGACCACACATTTATTTACCGTCGAGGGACGCACTACAACATTGTAAGAAATACTTTTACAATTTCGACGGGGAAAAATTTGAAATGGATTCGAAAGTAAACATCCTGTATTTTGGTTGGATTGGTTGATTTACTGCCCTTTCTTTTACAAGCATAAATTGTTTTCCTGCACTGAGCCAATAGAAATATGAAAGGAAAAACCACAGCTTCTTCGGAGGAGAATTATATTGGATATGACATGGGAAAACTTTATAAATGAATATATTAATCGGTCAATTTTGCTCGTGTGCCACGTACGCGGAAAACAATGGTGCATTTAGGTGGTGTGCTTCAGTAAGCACTTATATAAGCTGATCAGATTTGGTAAGACGGAAATTAATTACCGTTGATATTGAGTCCGTGCGTGTATATTGCTTAGAAATTATATCATTAAATTGATTTTACAGAATACAATTTTGCTGATACATGCTTAATTTTAGTGACATCCCGTTATCAGTTTTCTTAAGGCTTTTTTCCTTGTATGTGTTTAATTTAGAAACTTTCTATTGCTCTTCTTTGCTTTATCATTGGAATAGAGTTTTAAATCACTTCTGTTGCCTGCGACGCTTATCTGCTTAATTATGGGCATTCACTTGGATGTCTCTATTATTTTATAAATGTTTTTCTTTTTTCTTTTGAATTGTAACTAGAGCTCCTCTGTGAATAAAAATCAATCAATTGAGTGATTTTCCTGAACTTCTTTCAAATAGCAGTTTAACCTTGTTTTGTAAGGGACTTATATTTGAGAATTGCGTTATTTCAAATCCTTCATCCTAAATCCTGACATCCCGATTCCAATTAATAATTGTAATATCAAATCACGATAACTTGAGAAAGACCTTATCAATCCTGCTGCATTCGACCCGAAACTCCTACTTAAGTTTCATTTTATAACATAATAGAAACTGCTACTGTTTATTTTTTTTAGTAAAATTTACATTTACCAACCTAATAATCGCCATTCGATATTTTACCCGACGCTCACTCCACTCATTTTAAAAGTCTCATGATTACTCCACTATAAACAAAATTTTATTTGGGACTATACTTTGTAAGCTAACTCTCTTAAAAACGCGCCCGAATAGCCACTATAAATTTCCAGTGCGAGGTTTCAAACACACAAACTTTGGCTGATACATGTAAGGTTATACGATTGATGAAGAAAAAATATTTATTGTATCACTTTACTTTCATTCTCCGTAAAAAAATTTTAGTTGCTCACAACTATCTATTGTACTTTCAAAAATGTTGTCATCGAAAAAAATTGAACAATTTAGAACAACCACAACTGGATATAAGCAAATTTATCTGTATATCTGCCCGAGTAATGAAATATTAAATCAATTAGCTCAGTAACGGAATAATTATGTTTCTTCTTACTTCATTTTTAAAATAATTACCTCAATATCAGACAGACTACAAGAGACTCACGCGTATCACATTAATGGTATGGCAACGCAGAGGCGGAATCTAATACCGCACCCCGAATTCATCAGTTGAATTCCATGTGGCCGCGGCCCTCACGAATGCAACTCTCTCTTTATAATTTCGAGCTTGGTTATTTTACTTATTTATCTGCGGTATTATCTTATGATCGCTGCCCTCGCATGCTCACCGTAAAAAAGTGTGAAAATAACCCCGGCAAGGTCGGACCAAATGCCTGCAGCCAACCACGTCTCTGGGGCGCGAGGGAGGAGGTTTCCTGTTGACTCCTGTATGCCTAAGTTGGAATTATCTTTTGTTGAAAGTGATAGGTGTTTAAAAAACATTGAAAATCTAAATATTGAGTTACGCTGGTTAAATTAAATTACTTTTTTAATATTGAATCATTTGAAACCACTTCGCTAACGATGGTTGATCGTTGCTGATTGGACGATGATTACTATGAACAATCTCCAGGGCATCGTCCCTCCCGGCCAATGACAGCCGCGCAGCGCCAATCAGTTCCAATCATCGCGAGTGTCATTGGACGACACTTGAGCCTGTATGCTTGTTTGTTATGCCTCTATGGTTATTACTTTAGCCGCCGTTGTTGATTAATTTGCCTGTAAAGTTGTCAATTTGGTCTATCGTGTAGTTACTTTTCCCTTTAATGCTGATTGTTATACATCTACGGTTGTTTTTTTACCTCTACAGTAATTCCCTTTGCCAATTCAGTTTTTATTACTGCCACTATACGGTCGTTACTTTCATCTTTACGGTTGTTGCTCATGTTGCGCTGTTGCAGCTGCTTCTGTCACGGTAAAACTTCATCGACGAAACAACATTTCGTTGTTTGAACGACCAGTGAATGCAATTCAGTCAATTTTCGGAAGCAGGTCATATGCAAAATAATATTTTCTTTTATTATCTTATCATTAATGTGATAACACAACAGTTCCTTAAGTCGTAATTCAAATCTAATTTCGATTTTTAATGTTGAATTCAAACTAAAAGTAACAAATTCTTAAGTAAATCAGGCCGTGATGGACATGGGTCAACTATTGACAGTCTAGAGCAAATATAGTCTTAGGAAAATTGTGGTAATTAACTCTTGTTGAAATGGTGGCCGAGAGGTCAGCTGCGCTCGCCAGACGGACTGACAAGGAATGTCATGACACTCGTGCTCGGACTCAACTCTAATTGGATCGTGACGCCCGTTTGTGGAACCTTAAAAAAATAAGAACAGCATTACTAATCCTAAACTATTCCCGTGTATTTGTTAAATATTCAGTTCATGAATGCAATGTTGACGTTAATTTAAACCTTTTTCATTTTCTGGTGATACATTTGAGTGATAGAAATACATTTATGTGATGTTTGCACGTGCGATATTATGAAGATTCGGGCAAAAACTAACGCGAATTACCCGAATCAAAAGAGAAAAGAATTTCAATGTTTTAATTATCGGGGCAAATAATTGTTATGGGGAAGTGTAGGTGTGACCTGCAGTGAGGGTTGCCGTCTAAATAACCGTCGGAGCTCGACGAGAGGGTAGTCGCGGCACCGCCGTCGTCGGGAGAGGAGGTGTATCGCGCGTTGCTACGAACTTTCTCACTGGCGTGGATTGTTACAAGTGTTGCAGGTCATGTTGAAGACTTCGGTTTGAATGAGACCAACATATTAACTTTATTAACACAATTTTAAACTTTGTCCTGTGAAAGCAGACAAGTTGGCGACGGATGCGTTGTAATGAATGCCACGTTTAATCGGTTCACGGATTATAGGAATCATTCGTTCATCTTACAAATTCATTAGTCTTGGTAACCGTGCCCACGATTGACTGCAGAACATTGAGAATACGTTCAATGTTTTGTTCATGGTTGAGTACAAGCGCCTGATGTCTATTCCATCTAAAACTTTAGAATTATGACAATCATCTTATCCGTTTTTATTAAATAATTATTGGGCAATTGAAACCAATTTGAACAATTCTCGGGTGGTAAGTATAATGCACTGAATAGTATCAGCCCCTAAACATTTATTGCGGACAAAAATGCATAATATAATTCACAAAGTACGTAAGATATTCTTCATTAACTACAAAAGGGATGTTCTTAATTGACATTAACCAATAACTTTTTAACTGGAACATTTCAGTTCGGTTTCAGATTATCTCACTTGTGTAGGTTAATTTTACAGTTAAACATAATTAGTAACGAAGCCTCCACTAATTTGCGGAAATCCTTCCGCGCGCACAACGAATCTCTTACCCGCTGCCTGCTTCGTCGGTGGAGTTACACGATCCATGGTGAGAAGCTGTTAGTTTTCATACTATTTTTTATTGTAACAGTCATATAAAATGTTCACGATCAATTCTTAAAATTAAGAGACAGAAGCAAATCATTTTTGAATTAGCTTTTTTATTCGTGAAAGAAATAGAAGTTTCTAACCTCGAGTTGCATCTTTCGATCAGTGATTGGAAAAGACAGAAGATCCTACCCATCGAATCTTCACGCTCGCCACGTCTAATTGATTTATCAGCGAAATTCCGCCACATGCAATTGATTTTTCTTTAAATTATAAGGAATTATAAATTATTTTCATTAATTATAATTTTCATTATAATTAAATTTTCATCAAACTATAAGAATCTTCCTCAAATTATTGAGGAAGATTCTAAGGAGAGATGGAAGCTACCAGCTCAGCAGGGATCAGCTCAGGAATGACGTCATTCACACTTCACTGAGCAGCTCATTCTACGGATCTATTAACCATTTTATTATGCAATTGAATATTTATTATAACAACCAATTAGGGACGCAGCGTACAATTTTTGTGTTCAGCTGAAATTTCATACGAGTTATGAAATCTCAAATCCACCTGTTTGTAACATAACTTCTTTATTTGTTAGCAATTATTTTAATTTATTTCTATTCTTCATTTCTCCTCTTGATTCTAACGATATTTTTTCATCGACCTTATATCGCTCATAATTAGTTGTTCTTTTAAGTAGCAACATCATTTACCGATAGAAAAATAATGATTTCATCCAAATCGTCATACAAACCAATTTTTCTCTATTTATGATCACAATTATTGGAAAAACTTCAATTATCTCTTAACTATTCATCATGCTACCAATAAAAATTGTACCTATAAATATATATTATCAATATATATTTATTCCCTACACATCTTTAGCGAGGTTATTTCACCGTCTAATAAATTTAATATGTAACAAAAATTCAACGTCAACACAAAAAAAAACTGTCGTGGGCGTTAAAAATTATTTGTTAAGTTGTTTTGAAGTAAAATGTATGCAATAATCATTTATTGAAAAAATTTCCTTTTCGAAATTTTTTTTACTAGGTAGCGAAAGGCGCATTTTGATGAACAGCGAACAATTGAAGAAATAGGAAACGTTTTAAGTTAGTCTTGAATTCACAAAACCGCACATTCCTTCGTAACTTTCTCGCTGGCTTAGACGAGAAACTCTGTAGATTTAGTAAGCAGTTAAGTATTCAATCTTCTGACGTGCTTAGGCGTTTATAAGCCGCCACCGCTAACGAGCTCACTTTTGCTAAGTGGAGATACGTCAGTGAATGACGATAATAATTTTGTTAATTGAAGATAATGAGCCGTGGATCCAAAATTAATAAAGTTAGGTTAAACAGTCACTATTAGAATATAAAATCATGCACTTTCGTACCAACTTTTGGTTTCTCAAGTTGAAGCGTTCATTTTTTTTAGTCCTAACAAATAGATAGAATAATAAACTTACGATGAACTAATTATGTAAAAATAATCACGTCAGGAAGTCGTTTGGTTGATTTTAGTTCAGTTTGAATCTTATGATTAGAAAATCAACGAAAAACTTTGTGAAAGAATTTTAATATATCTGTCATTAAAGGGTTCATTTGTTTAGTTTCATTGTGAGATAACATGAGATGCAATGATATCGATCTCTTCAACCATAATTTTTAGAGCTACTAAGTGGGATTCTAACTATTATTGGTGCAGCCGTATTTTCAAACCGAGAGTGATGTAGAGATGTGCGTAATTTCAATCTAATCACAATTAAACTTCTTCGTAATTTGTCTCATTGCTGTGCAGATGATTAGAGGGAAAAATTCCTTATTTATTAACATTCAAAATTGAATTGAACAAAGTTACAAAATAAAACTAGCACCTAGAATTTTTTAGCCGAGGTTTAAGGTATTACCTTCCTCATCGTTTAATCAAACAATAAAAGAAATGTCGCATAGGTTATGAATTTTCTTTTTCGATCCTACGAGAAGGTGTTCTCATACAAAGGAAATGGTTCTCATGGTTGAAATTGCGCTGGTTGTATTTCTGTCATCGTCAGTTTCAACGTAAAAAACGAGAACACTTTCGCAGATGCACTATTTCTTGCCCTATCGCACTCCCTAACATTATATTATTATGTATATAATCAAAGAGGCATGAAGAAGTCTTTGGTTGCGGCCGAGTTTGTAAGAAAGGATTATGCCTCCCTGTCTGTGATTATGAAATTCAGCATTACACGGTCTAAGCGCGTGGAATGCTCTCATTTTCGTGATTATTAAACATAACATCTTATGGTCTATGCGTGCATGTGGATTGCTCTTTTTTAGGTGATTATGCCACGGAACATCACACGGTTTACCCGAATTGAAAGCCCTCTTTTCATTGATTATAACACGCAGCATCACACGGTCTAGAGCCCCTATAGCAGATCTTGTCGCTCTTTAATTTCCAGGAATGCGTAAGATTGCATCGGGACGCCGTTTTGTTTGTTGCGAGGATTTCAGTCGCAACCTCGCGTGCAGTGGTTTTTGTGTTGGTTTTTGTCCGCGCTGATAAACTATTGCAAGATTAGAGTAATGAGACGCCAAGCTGCGCACGTGAGTCGTTATAGAATAAAATTAAAATATTCATAGATCTTTGAACTATTTTTATTTAATGAACCTTCATGAATGATGGGAAAGAACAGATCAAATTATACAATTTCAGACGAATGGGAATTAAAAACCGATGATAAGAGAAGCTTTGTTGTCCTGGTTTAGGGTAGTAGATATAACGGTTCAAATCAGAAACGATATTGAACGTACATTTTTACGTTGATTATAGTATTATCAGAGGTTCAATTATACATGAATATTCTAATGCTGTTGCCGTATAAAAGCGCAGTATTTCACTGACATTTTCACATCAGCGGAAAAAAAAGACCTCATGGAAAGCTGGGCAAATTTTTCTTAATTATCTAGCTAGGCTTCGCTAGTAAAGAGCATGAACATTTTTTTTCAAAATTGAATTTTTAGAAATTATTTCCCCAAAGTTCCATATGTCAGGCATTGAGAAATTGTTGGTTTCTTCATATGAATATGCTGATATAAATTCATAATTTGATTGATTTGAAAGTATTTTTCATACTCCAAACTGATCGTCGAGCGAAGAAATCTCTCGATGGCATCGAATTCAAAATTCTACGTCCGTGAGAAACTAAGTGCATGTATACACGGAGACCTCTCCTAAGTGTTTACACGGAGACCTCTTCTAAGGGTATACACGGAAAACTCTTCTAAGTGTTTGCACGGAGAACTCAACCAAGTGTATACAGGGAGACCTCTTCTAAGTGTATACACGGAGACCTCTTCTAATTAAGTGTATACGTGGTGACCTCTTTTAAGTGTATACACTGAGACCTCTCCTGATTAAGTGTATACTTGTAGACCTTATCTAAGTGTATACACTGAGACCTGTTCTGAGTGTATACACTGAGACTGTCACGGAGACGTCTGGAGTATGAATGCGTGACAAGTTTTACGAAAACTGCGTAAAAACTTCCGATGGCAATGCCGCAAAAAGGAAAAAAAGCCGTTTTTCTCTAAGTATATTCTGCAGAATGCCTTTGCTGATGTTGGGAATGGCTGCAAAAAAAAACATATATTCACTTAGATGAAAACAAGTAAAAGATTTTAATTGCATCCAGTATTGCCACCTTTTTTAAATAAGTCTCGTAACATCTCACATTAAAATTTATTGTTCTGCATTTGTTATACGTTGTTCACCATTTGTCCACCTCTACAATTTTCGGTATTATTTGAAGTTCAATTCTGAAGTCATGCCCTCGGGAATCGATTGCCTTGCTCGAATTTTTCAGTTGAAATGTTCGCCTTTTTTAATTACCTTTGATAAATAACACCCTCAACACATTGGTCTGGGGAAAGCTCCTGATGACACAGCTTTGAATTCAAAAAGGGCAATCCTTCGAAAGGTGACGGCGAGCTGAGAATCCTTCGATTGCTGCTAACGACATCCTCGTGCCGCCATCAGGCTACACCGCGATTTCCTGATAGGAAAAATAGACAAGCCAGAACGACAAGTCATCGTTGAAACGTTAAGTTTCCGTATCGGCTGCCGAGTACTATGGGTTTATGCGTGAGAAGTTACCAGCAGCGTGACATGGCACGTATATACTTTTCTTCCGCAAACACACAAACTTTCCGAAAATGTAACTTCCATCTTTTACCTATTCTTTTCTAAACAAACATTTTAAGTGAACCCTACCGATCACTTCGCCTGATAATTTTCCAGAAAAATTTTTAAATGTTGCATCACCTGTCGAAATAGCTAAATAATTTTATCTTTATTTAGCTTTTTTAGAGTGTTTTTTTAGTATATAGATGGAATGCCTGTTGAATGGATTGCATGCCATGCCCTGTACTAGCTACAGCTTTCACTTTGCTGCACATTCATCAACTGATTTCTGTAACAAATCTGCAATAAACGTAAATTCTTAAGGGTTGAGCGCTCGTGTTTTCAATATTCCATTGAAGAAAAGTGACAAAGTATTTGCGATTCAGTCTCATCTGAACTGAACCGGAACACTATCCATTTCCAAAAGTGAAGCTGAAATAAATTACTTAACATTGCAAGCGAAATTATCTAATACTTGTCGACGCAAAAAAAAAAATCTTCGTGATCGTCTCGTGAAACCAAATAAAAATATTATACCACCACTAATGGATATGGTCTCTCAATGATCGATCACCTTGCATTATCCTTCACGATTCTTCTCAAAAACACGCAATAAAAGAATTAGTTGTTAGCTGTACGAATCACAACGATTAACTATGGTTATAATTCGCACAAATGAGTGTGCGTTAGCTTAAGCAAAGAAAAAATTTGAAATTCATAGAATATTTTCATTTTAATGAAACACACAACCTTCGATCGGCTTGGGATTAGGCACTGAACAACCTCCCTATTGTATCTAATTGAAGGGAGACAAGTTAAAATTCACGA